AAAGTAGCAAAATACTACAGAATACGAAGGTTTCGTACAACTGCCTTCCATCCACAATCAAATGGTTCCTTGGAAAGATCTCATCACGCACTAGGAGAATATTTGAAACAATACGCAACCAATGAAAAGGAATGGGATGAATGGGTAGACTTAGCGATACAAAATTACAATATTTGCATACATGAAGGCACTAAACACACACCATACGAATTAGTTTTCGGTAGACCCGCGAGAATATCGTCAAACGAACCATTACTCGAAGACGATAAAATAAAAACATATGATGATTACTTGATACAACTATTTACTCGATTACATAAAATGCAATTACAAGCAAATGACAATTTGACTGACGCTAAAGTATTGGGTGAGTGCAAAAGTTCGTGCGGAGTTTCAATAGATGGAGTTATAAGCGTCGTAAAGTGTTGTCATTAATACTTCCATCTACATATTATATAACGTTGGAAAGGTGACGTCTTCAGCTGTTATTAAAAAAAAAATCATTTGTTTTCATGCAAACTGCTTCGAGAAATATCACTTTAAAAATGAGTATCGATAAGGTGCATTTACGGCATGTTATGCTTTACGAGTTTCGGAAGGGAATAAACGTTGCCGCAGCCGTAAAAAACATTTAGGATGTTTATCAGGATGAAGCACCAGCTAAACGAACTGTGGAAAAATGGTTTGCTAAATTTCGGCGCGGAGAATTTAACCTTGAAGACGAGCCACGCTCTGGTCGACCTTCTGACATTGATGACGATGTTTTGCGTACTTTAGTGCTCAATAATCCGCGAATTTCAACAGAAGAAGTTGCTACAGCACTAAACGTTGACCGATCAACCGCTTTTCGGCGTTTAAAAAAGATGGGATTCGATTTGAAGCTCGATATATGGGTGCCCCATTTGCTGACCGAGAAGAACAAAATCAAGCGAATTTCTGCAGCCGTTTCTTTACTCGGGCGGCTCAATAACGAGTCGTTTTTAGATCGACTATAAATATAGATCGACTAAATATATTACGCCAACAAGGCGGAATATCTCTTCTTGTGAAATTGTATTCGCGTAATCCGCCTTAACGCTTGATGCATCTTTCTTTATTTATAATAAAAGTTAGACGGCCTGATTGCAAAATCTGGCTTTGTGAGGATCTTGGGAATAGTTTTAGAGATATGCTATAACAATATGTTAATGACATTACATCAGTGAAGGAATATATATCATTTTGTACAATGCTATCATACGTGATCCGCTCCGACGCTTCATACATCTTTATTTATTTATGATGCATTTTTCACGGCCTGACTGCAAAATCTGATTCTGTAGGTTTCTCGGGGATAGCTCAAAGGAGATGCTATATAACAATTTGGCGGTGAAGCATATCGTCAACGAAGTGAAATTTTGCATCTCCTACAATGATTTTTCGATTGATTCGCTCCAACGCCTGGTACGACGGGCACTTATATATTATAAATTTTTGACGATCGGATTGCAAAATCTGGCTTTGTACAGATCTCGGGAATAGTACGAAGAAGATGCTGCAACAATTTGGTAATAATACCGTCAAAGAGAGTATTGTCAAAGAGACGAAATATTGCATCTCGTAAAATGATATTTCGAGTGATTCGCAGCGACGCTTGGTACAGCGGACGCTTTATTAATGTATGATAAATTTTTGACGGTCGGATTGTAAGATCTGGCTCTGTAGGGTTCTCAGGGATAGTTCAAGGAAGATACCATAATAATTTGGTGGTTATACGTCTTGTCAACGAGGCAATATATTTGTTCTTTTAAAATTGTATTCCGCCTGATTCGCTGCGATATTTGGTACAGCTGACGCTTTAATTATATATAATAAATTGTTGACGGCCTGTTTGTAAAATCTAACTCCATAGAGATCTCGGGAATAGTTGTAGGAAGATGCTAAAACAAGTTCATGGTCATATATTACGTCAACAAGGCAAAATATTGCTTCTTGTAAAATGGTATTCCACCTGAATCGTTGCAACTCCTGGTACGGCTGATGCTTAATTTATATATATTATAAATTTTGGACGGCCGGATTGCATAATCTAGCTGTGTAAGGTCCTCAGGGATAGTTCAAGAAAGATACTATAACAGTTTAGCAATTATACGTATCGTTAACGAGGCGGAATATCTCTTCTTGTGAAATTGTATTCGCGTGATCCGCCTTAACGCTTGATGCATCTTTATTTATTTATGATAAAAGTTAGACGGCCTGATTGCGAAATCTGGCTTTGTAGAGACCTCGGAAATAGATCGAGAAATATGTTGTAACAATTTGGTGGTAATATATGAGTGCAACGAGGCAAAATATCTTTTCTTGTAACATGGTATTTCGCGGGACTCGCTGCGATGTTTCGTACGACGCTCGCTTTATTAAAATATTATAAATTTTTGTCTGCTGGATTGCAAAATCTGGCTCTGTACGGACTTCGATAGTTCGATAGTCAAATAGTTCAAGGAATATTCCATATAAATTTGTCGGTTACATATATCGCCAACGAGACGGGTCTCTTCTTGTAAAATGGTATTGTACGTGATCCGCTCCGACGCTTCATACATCTTTATTTATTTATGATACATTTTTCACGGTCTGACTGCAAAATCTGGCTCTGTAGGTTTCTCAGGGTTAGTTCAAAGAAGATGCTATAACAATTCGACGGTTAAATATATCGCCAACGAGGTGAAATTTTGCATCTCTTACAATCATTTCGCGACTGATTCGCTCCAACGCCTGATACGACGGATGGCTTTATTTATATATTATAAATTTTTTACGACCGGATTGCAAAATCTGGCTTTGTATCGATCTCGGAAATAATCTCGAAGAAGATGCTGCAACAATTTGATAATAATACGTATTGTCAAAGAGACGAAATATTGCATCTCGTAAAATGATATTTCGAGTGACTCGCAGCGATGCTTGATACGGCGGATGCTTTATTAATGTATGATAAATTTTTGACGGCCGGATTGCAAAATTTGGCTCTGTAGGGACCTCGATAATAGTTCAAGGAATATTCCATATCAATTTGGTGGGTACATATATCGTCACCGTGGCAAAATATCTTATGTTTTAAAGTGGAAGCTGGAAGATATTCATACACATACACACGGCAATACTTATGCACTGCTCATATATACGCTAATCCTAATGCATTGTTCGCGCGAACGCAAGGCAGGAAGGTTAGGTCATATAGACTGCACCATAGTGCAGCTAGGCTACACTTTTTCTTTTTTTTTTGTTCAGGGGAAATCCATCATAGATACCTCCGCCCCCTTGGGGAGGGGCGGGGGTTATGTCGGACTCTTACCGACTAAAACCCCTGCGTGATGTCTACCTGTCGGACCGTGAGGAGGGCAGTTAGGGGAACTGCTCCCGCATTCTCTCCCCAACAGCTAGGCTACACTTTCCGTGTATTTTCCGTGTAGCATATTTTGCCACGCAGACATCATATTTGCTTATCAGACTTACATAGGCATCTTCCTTATATTAATATCTAGGTCGGTACAGAGCGCGATTTTGCATTTAGGTTCTTGAAAATTTGTAATAAATGAAAATATAGGCTCGTGCTGCACCGCGGAATGAACGTTCATTCAAAATTTTTATTCGATTTTTATTTAGACCTTTTTTCCAAAAAAGCGCTTTGTACGAGCATGCGGACGTTTCTCCTGATTATAAATATCATATATTATGATTCTCTTCGTATTTTGTTCATAATTTGCAATATAATTTTGCCTAGTTCGCGGGTCTCCGCAAGAGGTCTCTAGTGTGGCTCCTGCAGACCCTTAAGACGGTCTCGACTGAGGCTGCGTTCCGATATTCACTGCCAGTACTGGCAGCACTGCGAATGCCGTTCCGATATTCGCGACAGTAAACTTTCAAAGCATTTTCGTGTCCATATGACGTAATAGATTTTGTCGTCACTTCCTGCTTTCGTTACTGCGGCTCGCGAGGTAAGGCATTCGCAGTAGAAAAATGGCGGCACCTATAGAAGAAGTGTGTCTGATCGATGCGGAAGATAACAAAGAATATAAAATAATATTAAGTAGCGGAGATGCAGAAAAAGCACGAAGAAGTAAGTATACAATTTATATTGTCAACATTTTTATAAATATTAATATTATTTTTACTTTTATAGATATGAATTTTGCAACGTTGTTGTTGGCAAAAGCCAAAGAACAATATATGTTACCACAAGCAACTAGTGAACGTAAATATAATGAATTTAAAAATATTAAGTAAATAATGAGTGCTTTCCATGTAGCGTTCCATAAATCGATCAAGCATCATGCTATCTTTGTCACTCACTGATGTGAGGCAAGAACAGAATAATGCTTGTGTCAACTTGTGTCATGAAATGGAAAGTACCCAGCAAACACAATATTACATGTAACGTGCATGTTTATTATAATTTCCTATTCAACAATATAACTGTTATATAACAGTAATATTGTGGAGTAGGAAATTACAATTAACATGCACGTTACATGTAATATTGTATTTGCTGGGTATCCATTATTAATTTGTAAAATATTTTTTCTGTTCTAGCAAGTTGTAGTACATTTACAAATATTATTGGATGTATGGAAGGTAATGTAATAATTTTAACTGTATACTTGCTTTCGTAAAATGGTTTAAACATATAATTATTTTTTAAAAGAGGGTAAGGAAATTGAAGAATTCTAGCAACTGTTTACAGGTTTGTAAGTGACAAGTAGCCTGTTCTTTTTAGCTGCTAAACTGCAATAAGCGATAGTAAGAAAAATATAAGCCTGTTCGTTTTCGCTGCATTACTGAATTAGCGCAATAAATTAGAGTGAGAAAATCTGTATTAATCTCACTTTAACTTATTGCACCGGTTCAGTAGTGCAGCGAAAACGAACAGATCTTATGTCTGACTTTAACTTATTGCACTTGTGCAGCAATACAACTAAAGAACAAACTAAAGATTATGTGTAATTGTATAAACTTGTGAACAGTTGCTGACTTTTTTCAGTTATTGTCTTTTATTTCGAACATGTTGGACAAATGACTAAATCATTTTGTAAATAAATATACAAAGGTGTATCTAATATAATAAGTGTCTACTGCATATTAGATGTATCCAATTTGCATCAAATATTGAAATAATAGTATTTCTTTAATCATTATAGGTACATATATTTGGACTACACCAGAAACTCTATTATTATTAAACATATATGGTGAATATAAGGATGAATATTAGAATGGAAAAGGAACAGTTAAACAATACTGGGATAAAGTTGCAAAAGCTATGCAAGACAAAGGATATGATGTAACGGGCATGAAATGTTCAATAAAGTTTCAGGCCTTAAAACGAACATATAAATCAATTATGGATCATAATAATAAAAGTGGGAATAATCGCAAAGAATGGGAATATCTAAAAGTATAAGATTTTTTAAGTTTATTCTTACATAAAGATATATATATATGTTATATGTTTATTAATGTTAATACATCGACATTTAATTATAAAGATCATGTTTTTGCCTCAGATTATGAATGAATTGTTTGCGGATAAACCTTGGATCAAACCTTTGGCTGTGGCAGGGTCAAATGTGGATGAAGATGAGAAAGAGAATACACCACAGGAAAAATGTAAGGTAAAACATGCCTTCTGTGTCCTACATAAGTAAAATGAATTGTAAAAGTGTGTTCGACATTTATAATTTTAGGTATTAAAAAGAGAAAGTTGAATATACTTATACAAGACTATATATCATATAACAAGGAAGAACAAAAGAAACGAAGAAAGTTTAGAGAAAAAAAATATGAAGAGAAACAAATTGCATTTAAGCGATTACAAGATTTAATGCAAAGATTGATAGAAAAAGAAAAGAGTAAGAAAAAAGTAAAGTAGATTGAGTGAGAAAGAAAAACGGATAAAGGATATAATGCTTATTTTGTTCATTACAAAGTTTTGAGTTTAAGTTCAGAGCTTTTTTTATTTTTGAGTGAGAAAGAAAAACGGATAAAAGAGAGAATGTTTGTTTTATAAAGTTTAGAATTTTAGTTCAGAATTTTTTTATTTTTGAGTGAAGAAGAAAAACGGATAAAGGATAGAATATTTATTTTGTTCATTACAAAGTTTAAAGTTTAAGTACAGAGTTTTTATATTATATTTCTTTGGCAATATCATATACTGAAATGTGATAAAAATTTTATTTTGTTTTTATTAACTGTTTATCAACAAAAATTAGTACAGTTCAATGACTAGGTTTATTATCTATGACAGTATAAGAAAAGACTGAATATATATTAACTATATATTAATATAAACCTAAATTAAAACTTACTTTTAATAATATTTTGTCCTTGTTAAAATATAATATATAGTTATATAAAATAAAAAGAATCGAGATATGTGACATAGTAATATTTATTTCTGTATTTAAAATATACTAATATAAAAGTATAAAGTAAACATCTTTTCTTTCTTTCACATCGTTTAAACATTTTGTAAATAGTACATAATTGCATTTCTTTTCTGTATACCTTCTCTGTGTGCAGCATTGTCTTCTAATATTTGTTAATCAGCTAATATATGCTTCTTGCATGATATTAGGCTGATTAACAATAATAGGAATATCTATTATATCATTATTCAATAAGCAAATATTGTGCACAATGCAACAAGCAATTATATATTTGGGAATTAAATCCGTTCTTTGCATTGGAAGTGTGTCTAATATACTTCTAAAACGACTTTTTAGGAGACCTAATGATCGCTCCACGATCATTCTAGCAGAAGAGAGACGAACATTAAAATATTTTTGTCTTTCTGATAGATGACCATTATCCTTAAATGGTACCATCACATATTTTGTTAATCGATATGCTGCATCACCTAGGATATGGCAATCATGAGGAAAATTCGCATCCGTACACATATTTTCGAATTTAGATAATTTAAAAACACGCATGTCGTGCACGGAACCAACCTGTCCTGCATAACAATGTATAAATTGTAATTGTGGATTACAAATTACCTAAAACATTATAATTTTTCAATGTTGACATCATACATTAATAATGATATAAATGAAACATTTGCTATTAATAAGTACATGATTTGTGTATGTGTGTGCCCGCATACTAAAAGGTTGACTGTAATTTTTGGAATGAGTTTGTAAGCTCTATCTTGTCCAATAGGAGTATTATACCATGAAAAAACGAATTCTTCCATTAAATAGAAGGAGAGTTCCCAAATTCATTACAAAAATTACAGATAACTTTCTAGTCCACGATAGTACAATATATTTCACACTTTTAACATCATCCAGTAAAAAACAAACATGTCTACAGTATTAAAAACATTTATCATATATTAATATTAAAATATTAATAACATTAACTTACTTGTAGTTGAATCGAATGAAACCCTTTTCTGTTTATGTATGATTCACTATGTTCTTGTGGAGCAGTAATTTTTACATGTGTTCCGTCTACTGCCCCAATAACATTTGGAAAACCATATTGCTGTTCCATGGTATCCATGCTTTGTTGTGCTTCTTCTATAGTTGGCCATTTAATAAAACTTGTAATTTTTTTATACAGTACATGTACAACTTTTTGCACACTTCGCCATGCTGTAGCTTTACCAACATTAAATCTATCTGAAACACATCTGAACAAAAAATTTATTACATATACCTATTTTATACAAATCCAAAGTTATAATTCAATTTACTTATATGCTTCTTACCTATAGGAATTTGGTGTAGCCATAATCCAAATAGCTATGAGTAGTTGTTTTTCAGGCGATATTGGTTGCTTGCCATATCTATTACTCTGTTTCCAGAGGCTTGGTTCCAAGAGGTCTTAATAGTTCTAATAATATTTGAAACGTACTCCGTTTCATCCTAAAATAAAGAATAGCTATTATAAAAAGATAAAAGTTAATTTATTCAATATGGCATTTATGTATGTAAACTGTCAAAATTTTATCTGCATATTTTTTCTTACCGAAAATGCATTTTGAATTCTTCATCGGTGTACAAGGGTACAATGTTTTCAACATAATTCTGGTAATGTTTATGCGATATTGTATTCGTCTTTTGCACAATTAATAATAAGAGCAATTCATGTTCCTCATCTGATGTTTCACTGTCTGATTCATCTGATGATTCCATTAAATATTTCGCGAACTCACAAATCATTTCAAGTTTTTTATCCATTTTGACAATTTCGTTTATATTGATAGGTTAATATTTTAAATCAATCGCAGTACTGCGGACATCGTTCCGTTATTGCAGTACTATAACGTAAAGAAGTAACATCAGTAATAATGGAACGATCTTTGTAGCTTTACCGAGTGATGTCACATTGTCAGTACTTACTTACTTACAGTGAATATCGGAACGCAGCCTTAAGATCACTTGATCAAGACCCTCTTATCAGGCTGCGTTCCGATATTCACTGTAAGTACTGACAATGTGACATCACTCGGTAAAGCTACAAAGATCGTTCCATTATTACTGATGTTGCTTCTTTACGTTATAGTACTGCAATAACGGAACGATGTCCGCAGTACTGCGATTGATTTAAAATATTAACCTATCAATATAAACGAAATTGTCAAAATGGATAAAAAACTTGAAATGATTTGTGAGTTCGCGAAATATTTAATGGAATCATCAGATGAATCAGACAGTGAAACATCAGATGAGGAACATGAATTGCTCTTATTATTAATTGTGCAAAAGACGAATACAATATCGCATAAACATTACCAGAATTATGTTGAAAACATTGTACCCTTGTACACCGATGAAGAATTCAAAATGCATTTTCGGTAAGAAAAAATATGCAGATAAAATTTTGACAGTTTACATACATAAATGCCATATTGAATAAATTAACTTTTATCTTTTTATAATAGCTATTCTTTATTTTAGGATGAAACGGAGTACGTTTCAAATATTATTAGAACTATTAAGACCTCTTGGAACCAAGCCTCTGGAAACAGAGTAATAGATATGGCAAGCAACCAATATCGCCTGAAAAACAACTACTCATAGCTATTTGGATTATGGCTACACCAAATTCCTATAGGTAAGAAGCATATAAGTAAATTGAATTATAACTTTGGATTTGTATAAAATAGGTATATGTAATAAATTTTTTGTTCAGATGTGTTTTCAGATAGATTTAATGTTGGTAAAGCTACAGCATGGCGAAGTGTGCAAAAAGTTGTACATGTACTGTATAAAAAATTACAAGTTTTATTAAATGGCCAACTATAGAAGAAGCACAACAAAGCATGGATACCATGGAACAGCAATATGGTTTTCCAAATGTTATTGGGGCAGTAGACGGAACACATGTAAAAATTACTGCTCCACAAGAACATAGTAAATCATACATAAACAGAAAAGGGTTTCATTCGATTCAACTACAAGTAAGTTAATGTTATTAATATTTTAATATTAATATATGATAAAATGTTTTTAATACTGTAGACATGTTTGTTTTTTACTGGATGATGTTAAAAGTGGTGAAATATATTGTACTATCGTGGACTAGAAAGTTATCTGTAATTTTTGTAATGAATTTGGGAACTCTCCTTCTATTTAATGGAAGAATTCGTTTTTTCATGGTATAATACTCCTATTGGACAAGATAGAGCTTACAAACTCATTCCAAAAATTACAGTCAACCTTTAGTATGCGGGCACACACATACACAAATCATGTACTTATTAATAGCAAATGTTTCATTTATATCATTATTAATGTATGATGTCAACATTGAAAAATTATAATGTTTTAGGTAATTTGTAATCCACAATTACAATTTATACATTGTTATGCAGGACAGGTTGTTCCGTGCACGACATGCGTTTTTAAATTATCTAAATTCGAAAATATGTGTACGGATGCGAATTTTCCTCATGATTGCCATATCCTAGGTGATGCAGCATATCGATTAACAAAATATGTGATGGTACCATTTAAGGATAATGGTCATTCTATCAGAAGACAAAAATATTTTAATGTTCGTCTCTCTTCTGCTAGCAATGATCGTGGAGCGATCATTAGGTCTCCTAAAAGGTCGTTTAGAATATATTAGACCACACTTCCAATGCAAAGAACGGATTTAATTCCCAAATATATAATTGCTTGTTGCATTGTGCACAATATTTGCTTATTGAATAATGATATAATAGATATTCCTATTATTGTTAATCAGCCTAATATCATGCAAGAAGCATGATATTAGGCTGATTAACAAATATTAGAAGACAATGCTGCACACAGAGAAGGTATACAGAAAAGAAATGCAATTATGTACTATTTACAAAATGTTTAAACGATGTGAAAGAAAGAAAAGATGTTTACTTTATACTTTTATATTAGTATATTTTAAATACAGAAATAAATATTACTATGTCACATATCTCGATTCTTTTTATTTTATATAACTATATATTATATTTTAACAAGGACAAAATATTATTAAAAGTAAGTTTTAATTTAGGTTTATATTAATATATAGTTAATATATATTCAGTCTTTTCTTATACTGTCATAGATAATAAACCTAGTCATTGAACTGTACTAATTTTTGTTGATAAACAGTTAATAAAAACAAAATAAAATTTTTATCACATTTCAGTATATGATATTGCCAAAGAAATATAATATAAAAACTCTGTACTTAAACTTTAAAACTTTGTAATGAACAAAATAAATATTCTATCCTTTATCCGTTTTTCTTCTTCACTCAAAAATAAAAAAATTCTGAACTAAAATTCTAAACTTTATAAAACAAACATTCTCTCTTTTATCCGTTTTTCTTTCTCACTCAAAAAATAAAAAAAGCTCTGAACTTAAACTCAAAACTTTGTAATGAACAAAATAAGCATTATATCCTTTATCCGTTTTTCTTTCTCACTCAATCTACTTTACTTTTTTCTTACTCTTTTCTTTTTCTATCAATCTTTGCATTAAATCTTGTAATCGCTTAAATGCAATTTGTTTCTCTTCATATTTTTTTCTCTAAACTTTCTTCGTTTCTTTTGTTCTTCCTTGTTATATGATATAGTCTTGTATAAGTATATTCAACTTTCTCTTTTTAATACCTAAAATTATAAATGTCGAACACACTTTACAATTCATTTTACTTATGTAGGACACAGAAGGCATGTTTTACCTTACATTTTTCCTGTGGTGTATTCTCTTTCTCATCTTCATCCACATTTGATCCTGCCACAGCCAAAGGTTTGATCAAGGTTTATCCGCAAACAATTCATTCATAATCTGAGGCAAAAACATGATCTTTATAATTAAATGTCGATGTNGTCTCTGATAGATTTTTTTTTATAAAGATATCTGCAAGCTCTTATATATCAAACAATAATTAATAATGTTCAATAACAATAATTAAAAAATTTTCAAGAAAAAAATACCGCTTATGCAACTTTGGATCCAAATAGTATAATAATATAATATGCATAATTTGTTAGAAAGAACAGGATTTTTTTTCAGAAAGATACAAGCAATTTTAACATTTATTTTCATAAATTAGAGTTTTCTTTTATTATTCTTATATTTTTATTAATAAAAGTGACATTTCTAATAGTGCATTGAATTTGTTTCAAAATCCTGTACAATATTATATAAAAAAATTGCATGGTGCCATTTAAAAAATCTGAGGTAACTTTGATTTTTATAAAGAAAATTCTTTTTTCAAAAATGTTTATCGCAAGTTGTAGTCTGTATGAAGCAGATAAATGTTCACTTTTATCTTTTCTTTTAATCATTAGAAGTGTCTAAAAAATCATACGCACTATTATATCCTATATATGTTTCAAATTTCAACCTGATTCTATATAATACAAATTGTATTACAATATAGAACATAGTATTTTTTAAACCTGCGAAATGTAATATTAAATTAAAATATTGTATTTAATTAGGTCAATAAAGTGGCAAGTTAAGATTTTATCAGAATTCATTAAAAACAAAACAAAATATATCTTATTGATATTATTCTTCTTGAGATTAGTTTTCAAAAATCTTATTATTTTAAACCAAGGTTATAATTTTGAAATACTAAAGAATATGAGAGATAAATCTACATATAAGATAATTAAACACCTTGTATAATTACACATACTGATAAATAAATTGATTAAGAAAAAGACCATTGTGTCCTTATGTTCTTTTTATCTCTAATTACATAAACGAACGCACGCACGCAAACATACGCTTAATTCTTAATATTTAATTTTTGCTTTAACCTCTTCCGCAATGCCACCCCACTTGAGCTTGTAAACGCGCGATCGCCATTGTATAAGAGGATCCAAGACAGCCTGAAAAAAAAGATACGGTCTCGTGGTCTCGCTGAGTAACCAACCACACACGAATTCAAGTTTGTTGAATGGTAGCGGACCGTTCTGTACAACACACAGTAACGTCCAGTCGAACATAAACCACAAAAGTATGTGTACTAAATAGAAAACTAGAGAATCCCACTCGAATAACACACTAGCTGCCCAAGAAGCACAACCACCCAGGACAAAACACTCGCTCAGTGGCTCTAAAACAATCGTCGTAGGTAACATTGCCACTCTCAGCTTGGCCCATCGTCGTAATCTTGCTCGAAAAGTATCTAACTCGCAGTGACCGCTATTCTGAAGCGCCGGTTGTGAGGACACGGTGATGCGCCAGCCACGATCAGTCAACGATTTAGCGTAAAAAAAGTCTTCCGCAAGATAAATACCAAACACTTTTAAACCTCCGACCTCGTCTAAAGTGGATTTCCTTAATAAAGCCGACATTCCTGTATGGCAGTTTATCCTAAGTAAATCTGCTGCCAGATACATTCGCGATTGCACAGTACCGAAAAATATCTTTTCATAAGCAGCAGCAAAACCTTCTCGATCACAGGTGAATGGCATCTGGTGAACCAAAGCTACTTTATCCGTCATATAATTCACCATATCCAATAGAGTGTCTTCCTTCATGCGTATACCACTGTCACTGATCAGCACAAGTTCGTACTTGGCAGCCTCATAAGCTGGCTGCATGTTGTTGATCTTTGGATTTACTCCTACGTTACAACCACCGACAAAGAGACTGGTTTCGATTTCCGGATATTTTTCAATCAGTTTGCGTACCAGCATCAACACAGGATCAGAATCGTCCTCTACACAAAATAGAAGCTCATATCGAGGATATTCCATTGTGAAGAAGGTTTCGAGATTGCCAAAGAGGTTCGGATCAACACCCATCAATGGTTTTATTACAGAAACACCTGGTAAAGGCGTTTCGTAACTCGGTACTTGGTTTACTTTACGATGTAATTTCCAACGACCTGCAATCAACGCCAACATATGCACTACCCACATGCCCGACCAGAATATCATAAAGAATATCGCGAACCCATACAAAGTATATAGCATGGAGTTCATTTTCCAGAGCGAAGGCTTGTTAGGCCACCGCGATTTAATATGCCGGCTCCGAACCGGCGACGGCACCCTTTTTACCCTTCCCTCGCTTCCTTTCCGGTCGCGTTCTACCGCGATCCACTGCTATTCTTCGCAAACGAGTATCTTTGTATAGAGTCAACAGCATAACAGAAACCTTCGTGGTATGTTCGACGCGGACCTTACGTCGAGTGTTGCATATTACTGCCATTATTAGCCATTGCTGTTCTCATCGTTTCCTTGGTCGATCACGGCTTGCGGCGGCGGCGGCGGCGGCGACGACGACGACGACGGCGACGACGATAACGTGTTTGCCCCTTGCAATGCATTCACGCCTTTGACTGTCCCTAACGAGCCAGCCGTTTAATGTTATATCCGATGTGTGCGTGCCGCTTTTTATTGTCTACCGCAATTCTAACGATGATAATTTTCATTCACGTCAACTATGCAATTCAGCCTTGTGGCAGACTGATGATAACCACGAAGCTCCATTTGTTTCTTCTTGCACCAAGATTCCACCTTCTGTCGAATAAACGAGATGCGAATGCGTAATTCGAATATAATATGACGCATCGCTATCACCGATCCACTCGACCTTACACTCGATAATATTTAACGTCAACGTGTCAGCATAATCATCGAATACACAGAATTCTTTACTGCCTACTGCGAATATTGATAGCATTGACACTTTTCTATTGACACATGCGTCAACGGCAAGCTGCGTTATTGTGTCTTCAACAGTCAGTTCTTGTTAGAATATTCGAGTCGAATTTTTTTATCGGTTTTTCAAATGACCATATTGTATCGCGGTAACCGAAATTTGTTTTGGAACAAACTAAAAGTTCAGCTCACTAATCCGAAACAACTTAATATCTCAACAGCGTCGATACTGGCCGCCATGACGCGTGCACTTATCACATCCCATCGACTCGCATCCTTCTCTCTAAAGGCTCGTCTACAATAGCTGTAATACCTCGTTTACAATAGAAGTCGTAGAGTCGTAGAGTCGTAAGTCGTAGAAATTGACCAATCATAGTCCGGTAAGAGAAAAATAATCGACCGCGATTGGTCAATTTGTACGACTTATGACTCTATGACTTCTGTTGTAGACGAGGTATAAGGGCCAGAGCACAGACTTCTGCATAACGCATAATACACAACACATAAGAGAATCAACCAATCAGAGTTCTTCATTTCTGTCATGAGGAAGGAAATCAAGAAAACTAATTGGTTTATTCTCTTATGTGTTATGTATTATGTATTATGCAAAAGCCTGTGCTCTTGCCCTAAGGCTGATATTACGGCTGCGTTCCGATATTCACTGCCAGTACTGGCAGCACTGCGAATGCCGTTCCGATATTCGCGACAGTAAACTTTCAAAGCATTTTCGTGTCCATATGACGTAATAGATTTTGTCGTCACTTCCTGCTTTCGTTACTGCGGCTCGCGAGGTAAGGCATTCGCAGTAGAAAAATGGCGGCACCTATAGAAGAAGTGTGTCTGATCGATGCGGAAGATAACAAAGAATATAAAATAATATTAAGTAGCGGAGATGCAGAAAAAGCACGAAGAAGTAAGTATACAATTTATATTGTCAACATTTTATAAATATTAATATTATTTTTACTTTTATAGATATGAATTTTGCAACGTTGTTGTTGGCAAAAGCCAAAGAACAATATATGTTACCACAAGCAACTAGTGAACGTAAATATAATGAATTTAAAAATATTAAGTAAATAATGAGTGCTTTCCATGTAGCGTTCCATAAATCGATCAAGCATCATGCTATCTTTGTCACTCACTGATGTGAGGCAAGAACAGAATAATGCTTGTGTCAACTTGTGTCATGAAATGGAAAGTACCCAGCAAACACAATATTACATGTAACGTGCATGTTTATTATAATTTCCTATTCAACAATATAACTGTTATATAACAGTAATATTGTGGAGTAGGAAATTACAATTAACATGCACGTTACATGTAATATTGTATTTGCTGGGTATCCATTATTAATTTGTAAAATATTTTTTCTGTTCTAGCAAGTTGTAGTACATTTACAAATATTATTGGATGTATGGAAGGTAATGTAATAATTTTAACTGTATACTTGCTTTCGTAAAATGGTTTAAGCATATAATTATTTTTTAAAAGAGGGTAAGGAAATTGAAGAATTCTAGCAACTGTTTACAGGTTTGTAAGTGACAAGTAGCCTGTTCTTTTTAGCTGCTAAACTGCAATAAGCGATAGTAAGAAAAATATAAGCCTGTTCGTTTTCGCTGCATTACTGAATTAGCGCAATAAATTAGAGTGAGAAAATCTGTATTAATCTCACTTTAACTTATTGCACCGGTTCAGTAGTGCAGCGAAAACGAACAGATCTTATGTCTGACTTTAACTTATTGCACTTGTGCAGCAATACAACTAAAGAACAAACTAAAGATTATGTGTAATTGTGTAAACTTGTGAACAGTTGCTGACTTTTTTCAGTTATTGTCTTTTATTTCGAACATGTTGGACAAATGACTAAATTGTAAATATTTTGTAAATACATATACAAAAGTGTATCTAATATAATAAGTGTCTACTGCATATTAGATGTATCCAATTTGCATCAAATATTGAAATAATAGTATTTCTTTAATCATTATAGGTACATATTTGGACTACACCAGAAACTCTATTATTATTAAACATATATGGTGAATATAAGGATGAATATTAGAATGGAAAAGGAACAGTTAAATAATACTGGGATAAAGTTGCAAAAGCTATGCAAGACAAAGGATATGATGTAACGGGCATGAAATGTTCAATAAAGTTTCAGGCCTTAAAACGAACATATAAATCAATTATGGATCATAATAAAAAAGTGGGAATAATCGCAAAGAATGGGAATATCTAAAAGTATAAGATTTTTTAAGTTTATTCTTACATAAAGATATATATATATGTTATATGTTTATTAATGTTAATACATCGACATTTAATTATAAAGATCATGTTTTTGCCTCAGATTATGAATGAATTGTTTGCGGATAAACCTTGGATCAAACCTTTGGCTGTGGCAGGATCAAATGTGGATGAAGATGAGAAAGAGAATACACCACAGGAAAAATGTAAGGTAAAACATGCCTTCTGTGTCCTACATAAGTAAAATGAATTGTAAAAGTGTGTTCGACATTTATAATTTTAGGTATTAAAAAGAGAAAGTTGAATATACTTATACAAGACTATATATCATATAACAAGGAAGAACAAAAGAAACGAAGAAAGTTTAGAGAAAAAAAATATGAAGAGAAACAAATTGCATTTAAGCGATTACAAGATTTAATGCAAAGATTGATAGAAAAAGAAAAGAGTAAGAAAAAAGTAAAGTAGATTGAGTGAGAAAGAAAAACGGATAAAGGATATAATGCTTATTTTGTTCATTACAAAGTTTTGAGTTTAAGTTCAGAGCTTTTTTTATTTTTGAGTGAGAAAGAAAAACGGATAAAAGAGAGAATGTTTGTTTTATAAAGTTTAGAATTTTAGTTCAGAATTTTTTTATTTTTGAGTGAAGAAGAAAAACGGATAAAGGATAGAATATTTATTTTGTTCATTACAAAGTTTAAAGTTTAAGTACAGAGTTTTTATATTATATTTCTTTGGCAATATCATATACTGAAATGTGGTAAAAATTTTATTTTGTTTTTATTAACTGTTTATCAACAAAAATTAGTACAGTTCAATGACTAGGTTTATTATCTATGACAGTATAAGAAAAGACTGAATATATATTAACTATATATTAATGTAAACCTAAATTAAAACTTACTTTTAATAATATTTTGACCTTGTTAAAATATAATATATAGTTATATAAAATAAAAAGAATCGAGATATGTGATATAGTAATATTTATTTCTGTATTTAAAATATACTAATATAAAAGTATAAAGTAAACATCTTTTCTTTCTTTCACATCGTTTAAACATTTTGTAAATAGTACATAATTGCATTTCTTTTCTGTATACCTTCTCTGTGTGCAGCATTGTCTTCTAATATTTGTGCTTCTTGCATGATATTAGGCTGATTAACAATAATAGGAATATCTATTATATCATTATTCAACAAGCAAATATTGTGCACAATGCAACAAGCAATTATATATTTGGGAATTAAATCCGTTCTTTGCATTGGAAGTGTGTCTAATATACTTCTAAAACGACTTTTAGGAGACCTAATGATCGCTCCACGATCATTCTAGCAGAAGAGAGACGAACATTAAAATATTTTTGTCTTTCTGATAGATGACCATTATCCTTAAATGGTACCATCACATATTTTGTTAATCGATATGCTGCATCACCTAGGATATGGCAATCATGAGGAAAATTCGCATCCGTACACATATTTTCGAATTTAGATAATTTAAAAACACGCATGTCGTGCACGGAACCAACCTGTCCTGCATAACAATGTATAAATTGTAATTGTGGATTACAAATTACCTAAAACATTATAATTTTTCAATGTTGACATCATACATTAATAATGATATAAATGAAACATTTGCTATTAATAAGTACATGATTTGTGTATGTGTGTGCCCGCATACTAAAAGGTTGACTGTAATTTTTGGAATGAGTTTGTAAGCTCTATCTTGTCCAATAGGAGTATTATACCATGAAAAAACGAATTCTTCCATTAAATAGAAGGAGAGTTCCCAAATTCATTACAAAAATTACAGATAACTTTCTAGTCCACGATAGTACAATATATTTCACACTTTTAACATCATCCAGTAAAAAACAAACATGTCTACAGTATTAAAAACATTTTATCATATATTAATATTAAAATATTAATAACATTAACTTACTTGTAGTTGAATCGAATGAAACCCTTTTCTGTTTATGTATGATTCACTATGTTCTTGTGGAGCAGTAATTTTTACATGTGTTCCGTCTACTGCCCCAATAACATTTGGAAAACCATATTGCTGTTCCATGGTATCCATGCTTTGTTGTGCTTCTTCTATAGTTGGCCATTTAATAAAACTTGTAATTTTTTTATACAGTACATGTACAACTTTTTGCACACTTCGCCATGCTGTAGCTTTACCAACATTAAATCTATCTGAAACACATCTGAACAAAAAATTTATTACATATACCTATTTTATACAAATCCAAAGTTATAATTCAATTTACTTATATGCTTCTTACCTATAGGAATTTGGTGTAGCCATAATCCAAATAGCTATGAGTAGTTGTTTTTCAGGCGATATTGGTTGCTTGCCATATCTATTACTCTGTTTCCAGAGGCTTGGTTCCAAGAGGTCTTAATAGTTCTAATAATATTTGAAACGTACTCCGTTTCATCCTAAAATAAAGAATAGCTATTATAAAAAGATAAAAGTTAATTTATTCAATATGGCATTTATGTATGTAAACTGTCAAAATTTTATCTGCATATTTTTTCTTACCGAAAATGCATTTTGAATTCTTCATCGGTGTACAAGGGTACAATGTTTTCAACATAATTCTGGTAATGTTTATGCGATATTGTATTCGTCTTTTGCACAATTAATAATAAGAGCAATTCATGTTCCTCATCTGATGTTTCACTGTCTGATTCATCTGATGATTCCATTAAATATTTCGCGAACTCACAAATCATTTCAAGTTTTTTATCCATTTTGACAATTTCGTTTATATTGATAGGTTAATATTTTAAATCAATCGCAGTACTGCGGACATCGTTCCGTTATTGCAGTACTATAACGTAAAGAAGTAACATCAGTAATAATGGAACGATCTTTGTAGCTTTACCGAGTGATGTCACATTGTCAGTACTTACTTACTTACAGTGAATATCGGAACGCAGCCTTAAGATCAACTTGATCAAGACCCTCTTATTCAGGCTGCGTTCCGATATTCACTGTAAGTACTGACAATGTGACATCACTCGGTAAAGCTACAAAGATCGTTCCATTATTACTGATGTTGCTTCTTTACGTTATAGTACTGCAATAACGGAACGATGTCCGCAGTACTGCGATTGATTTAAAATATTAACCTATCAATATAAACGAAATTGTCAAAATGGATAAAAAACTTGAAATGATTTGTGAGTTCGCGAAATATTTAATGGAATCATCAGATGAATCAGACAGTGAAACATCAGATGAGGAACATGAATTGCTCTTATTATTAATTGTGCAAAAGACGAATACAATATCGCATAAACATTACCAGAATTATGTTGAAAACATTGTACCCTTGTACACCGATGAAGAATTCAAAATGCATTTTCGGTAAGAAAAAATATGCAGATAAAATTTTGACAGTTTACATACATAAATGCCATATTGAATAAATTAACTTTTATCTTTTTATAATAGCTATTCTTTATTTTAGGATGAAACGGAGTACGTTTCAAATATTATTAGAACTATTAAGACCTCTTGGAACCAAGCCTCTGGAAACAGAGTAATAGATATGGCAAGCAACCAATATCGCCTGAAAAACAACTACTCATAGCTATTTGGATTATGGCTACACCAAATTCCTATAGGTAAGAAGCATATAAGTAAATTGAATTATAACTTTGGATTTGTATAAAATAGGTATATGTAATAAATTTTTTGTTCAGATGTGTTTCAGATAGATTTAATGTTGGTAAAGCTACAGCATGGCGAAGTGTGCAAAAAGTTGTACATGTACTGTATAAAAAAATTACAAGTTTTATTAAATGGCCAACTATAGAAGAAGCACAACAAAGCATGGATACCATGGAACAGCAATATGGTTTTCCAAATGTTATTGGGGCAGTAGACGGAACACATGTAAAAATTACTGCTCCACAAGAACATAGTAATCATACATAAACAGAAAAGGGTTTCATTCGATTCAACTACAAGTAAGTTAATGTTATTAATATTTTAATATTAATATATGATAAAATGTTTTTAATACTGTAGACATGTTTGTTTTTTACTGGATGATGTTAAAAGTGTGAAATATATTGTACTATCGTGGACTAGAAAGTTATCTGTAATTTTTGTAATGAATTTGTGAACTCTCCTTCTATTTAATGGAAGAATTCGTTTTTTCATGGTATAATATTCCCATTGGACAAGATAGAGCTTACAAACTCATTCCAAAAATTACAGTCAACCTTTTAGTATGCGGGCACACACATACACAAATCATGTACTTATTAATAGCAAATGTTTCATTTATATCATTATTAATGTATGATGTCAACATTGAAAAATTATAATGTTTTAGGTAATTTGTAATCCACAATTACAATTTATACATTGTTATGCAGGACAGGTTGGTTCCGTGCACGACATGCGTTTTTAAATTATCTAAATTCGAAAATATGTGTACGGATGCGAATTTTCCTCATGATTGCCATATCCTAGGTGATGCAGCATATCAATTAACAAAATATGTGATGGTACCATTTAAGGATAATGGTCATCTATCAGAAAGACAAAAATATTTTAATGTTCGTCTCTCTTCTGCTAGAATGATCGTGGAGCGATCATTAGGTCTCCTAAAAGGTCGTTTTAGAAGTATATTAGACACACTTCCAATGCAAAGAACGGATTTAATTCCCAAATATATAATTGCTTGTTGCATTGTGCACAATATTTGCTTATTGAATAATGATATAATAGATATTCCTATTATTGTTAATCAGCCTAATATCATGCAAGAAGCATGATATTAGGCTGATTAACAAATATTAGAAGACAATGCTGCACACAGAGAAGGTATACAGAAAAGAAATGCAATTATGTACTATTTACAAAATGTTTAAACGATGTGAAAGAAAGAAAAGATGTTTACTTTATACTTTTATATTAGTATATTTTAAATACAGAAATAAATATTACTATGTCACATATCTCGATTCTTTTTATTTTATATAACTATATATTATATTTTAACAAGGACAAAATATTATTAAAAGTAAGTTTTAATTTAGGTTTATATTAATATATAGTTAATATATATTCAGTCTTTTCTTATACTGTCATAGATAATAAACCTAGTCATTGAACTGTACTAATTTTTGTTGATAAACAGTTAATAAAAACAAAATAAAATTTTTATCACATTTCAGTATATGATATTGCCAAAGAAATATAATATAAAAACTCTGTACTTAAACTTTAAACTTTGTAATGAACAAAATAAATATTCTATCCTTTATCCGTTTTTCTTCTTCACTCAAAAATAAAAAAATTCTGAACTAAAATTCTAAACTTTATAAAACAAACATTCTCTCTTTTATCCGTTTTTCTTTCTCACTCAAAAATAAAAAAAGCTCTGAACTTAAACTCAAAACTTTGTAATGAACAAAATAAGCATTATATCCTTTATCCGTTTTTCTTTCTCACTCAATCTACTTTACTTTTTTCTTACTCTTTTCTTTTTCTATCAATCTTTGCATTAAATCTTGTAATCGCTTAAATGCAATTTGTTTCTCTTCATATTTTTTTTCTCTAAACTTTCTTCGTTTCTTTTGTTCTTCCTTGTTATATGATATAGTCTTGTATAAGTATATTCAACTTTCTCTTTTTAATACCTAAAATTATAAATGTCGAACACACTTTTACAATTCATTTTACTTATGTAGGACACAGAAGGCATGTTTTACCTTACATTTTTCCTGTGGTGTATTCTCTTTCTCATCTTCATCCACATTTGATCCTGCCACAGCCAAAGGTTTGATCCAAGGTTTATCCGCAAACAATTCATTCATAATCTGAGGCAAAAACATGATCTTTATAATTAAATGTCGATGTATTAACATTAATAAACATATAACATATATATATATCTTTATGTAAGAATAAACTTAAAAAATCTTATACTTTTAGATATTCCCATTCTTTGCGATTATTCCCACTTTTGTTATTATGATCCATAATTGATTTATATGTTCGTTTTAAGGCCTGAAACTTTATTGAACATTTCATGCCCGTTACATCATATCCTTTGTCTTGCATAGCTTTTGCAACTTTATCCCAGTATTATTTAACTGTTCCTTTTCCATTCTAATATTCATCCTTATATTCATCATATATGTTTAATAATAATAGAGTTTCTGGTGTAGTCCAAATGTGTACCTATAATGATTAAAGAAATACTATTATTTCAATATTTGATGCAAATTGGATACATCTAATATGCAGTAGACACTTATTATATTAGATACACTTTTGTATATGTATTTACAAAAGTTATTTACAAAATTTAGTCATTTGTCCAACATGTTCGAAATAAAAGACAATAACTGAAAAAAGTCAGCAACTGTTCACAAGTTTACACAATTACACATAATCTTTAGTTTGTTCTTTAGTTGTATTGCTGCACAAGTGCAATAAGTTAAAGTGAGACATAAGATCTGTTCGTTTTCGCTGCACTACTGAACCGGTGCAATAAGTTAAAATGAGATTAATACAGATTTTCTCACTCTAATTTATTGCGCTAATTCAGCAATGCAGCGAAAACGAACAGGCTTATATTTTTCTTACTATCGCTTATTGCAGTTTAGCAGCTAAAAAGAACAGGCTACTTGTCACTTACAAACCTGTAAACAGTTGCTAGAATTCTTCAATTTCCTTACCCTCTTTTAAAAAATAATTATATGCTTAAACCATTTTACGAAAGCAAGTATACAGTTAAAATTATTACATTACCTTCCATACATCCAATAATATTTGTAAATGTACTACAACTTGCTAGAACAGAAAAAATATTTTACAAATTAATAATGGATACCCAGCAAATACAATATTACATGTAACGTGCATGTTAATTGTAATTTCCTACTCCACAATATTACTGTTATATAACAGTTATATTGTTGAATAGGAAATTATAATAAACATGCACGTTACATGTAATATTGTGTTTGCTGGGTACTTTCCATTTCATGACACAAGTTGACACAAGCATTATTCTGTTCTTGCCTCACATCAGTGAGTGACAAAGATAGCATGATGCTTGATCGATTTATGGAACGCTACATGGAAAGCACTCATTATTTACTTAATATTTTTAAATTCATTATATTTACGTTCACTAGTTGCTTGTGGTAACATATATTGTTCTTTGGCTTTTGCCAACAACAACGTTGCAAAATTCATATCTATAAAAGTAAAAATAATATTAATATTTATAAAAATGTTGACAATATAAATTGTATACTTACTTCTTCGTGCTTTTTCTGCATCTCCGCTACTTAATATTATTTTATATTCTTTGTTATCTTCCGCATCGATCAGACACACTTCTTCTATAGGTGCCGCCATTTTTCTACTGCGAATGCCTTACCTCGCGAGCCGCAGTAACGAAAGCAGGAAGTGACGACAAAATCTATTACGTCATATGGACACGAAAATGCTTTGAAAGTTTACTGTCGCGAATATCGGAACGGCATTCGCAGTGCTGCCAGTACTGGCAGTGAATATCGGAACGCAGCCGTAATATCAGCCTTAGGGCAAGAGTACAGGCTTTTGCATAATACATAATACATAACACATAAGAGAATAAACCAATTAGTTTTCTTGATTTCCTTCCTCATGACAGAAATGAAGAACTCTGATTGGTTGATTCTCTTATGTGTTGTGTATTATGCGTTATGCAGAAGTCTGTGCTCTGGCCCTTATACCTCGTCTACAACAGAAGTCATAGAGTCATAAGTCGTACAAATTGACCAATCGCGGTCGATTATTTTTCTCTTACCGGACTATGATTGGTCAATTTCTACGACTTACGACTCTACGACTCTACGACTTCTATTGTAAACGAGGTATTACAGCTATTGTAGACGAGCCTTTAGAGAGAAGGATGCGAGTCGATGGGATGTGATAAGTGCACGCGTCATGGCGGCCAGTATCGACGCTGTTGAGATATTAAGTTGTTTCGGATTAGTGAGCTGAACTTTTAGTTTGTTCCAAAACAAATTTCGGTTACCGCGATACAATATGGTCATTTGAAAAACCGATAAAAAAATTCGACTCGAATATTCTAACAAGAACTGACTGTTGAAGACACAATAACGCAGCTTGCCGTTGACGCATGTGTCAATAGAAAAGTGTCAATGCTATCAATATTCGCAGTAGGCAGTAAAGAATTCTGTGTATTCGATGATTATGCTGACACGTTGACGTTAAATATTATCGAGTGTAAGGTCGAGTGGATCGGTGATAGCGATGCGTCATATTATATTCGAATTACGCATTCGCGTCTCGTTTATTCGACAGAAGGTGGAATCTTGGTGCAAGAAGAAACAAATGGAGCTTCGTGGTTATCATCAGTCTGCCACAAGGCTGAATTGCATAGTTGACGTGAATGAAAATTATCATCGTTAGAATTGCGGTAGACAATAAAAAGCGGCACGCACACATCGGATATAACATTAAACGGCTGGCTCGTTAGGGACAGTCAAAGGCGTGAATGCATTGCAAGGGGCAAACACGTTATCGTCGTCGCCGTCGTCGTCGTCGTCGCCGCCGCCGCCGCCGCCGCAAGCCGTGATCGACCAAGGAAACGATGAGAACAGCAATGGCTAATAATGGCAGTAATATGCAACACTCGACGTAAGGTCCGCGTCGAACATACCACGAAGGTTTCTGTTATGCTGTTGACTCTATACAAAGATACTCGTTTGCGAAGAATAGCAGTGGATCGCGGTAGAACGCGACCGGAAAGGAAGCGAGGGAAGGGTAAAAAGGGTGCCGTCGCCGGTTCGGAGCCGGCATATTAAATCGCGGTGGCCTAACAAGCCTTCGCTCTGGAAAATGAACTCCATGCTATATACTTTGTATGGGTTCGCGATATTCTTTATGATATTCTGGTCGGGCATGTGGGTAGTGCATATGTTGGCGTTGATTGCAGGTCGTTGGAAATTACATCGTAAAGTAAACCAAGTACCGAGTTACGAAACGCCTTTACCAGGTGTTTCTGTAATAAAACCATTGATGGGTGTTGATCCGAACCTCTTTGGCAATCTCGAAACCTTCTTCACAATGGAATATCCTCGATATGAGCTTCTATTTTGTGTAGAGGACGATTCTGATCCTGTGTTGATGCTGGTACGCAAACTGATTGAAAAATATCCGGAAATCGAAACCAGTCTCTTTGTCGGTGGTTGTAACGTAGGAGTAAATCCAAAGATCAACAACATGCAGCCAGCTTATGAGGCTGCCAAGTACGAACTTGTGCTGATCAGTGACAGTGGTATACGCATGAAGGAAGACACTCTATTGGATATGGTGAATTATATGACGGATAAAGTAGCTTTGGTTCACCAGATGCCATTCACCTGTGATCGAGAAGGTTTTGCTGCTGCTTATGAAAAGATATTTTTCGGTACTGTGCAATCGCGAATGTATCTGGCAGCAGATTTACTTAGGATAAACTGCCATACAGGAATGTCGGCTTTATTAAGGAAATCCACTTTAGACGAGGTCGGAGGTTTAAAAGTGTTTGGTATTTATCTTGCGGAAGACTTTTTTTACGCTAAATCGTTGACTGATCGTGGCTGGCGCATCACCGTGTCCTCACAACCGGCGCTTCAGAATAGCGGTCACTGCGAGTTAGATACTTTTCGAGCAAGATTACGACGATGGGCCAAGCTGAGAGTGGCAATGTTACCTACGACGATTGTTTTAGAGCCACTGAGCGAGTGTTTTGTCCTGGGTGGTTGTGCTTCTTGGGCAGCTAGTGTGTTATTCGAGTGGGATTCTCTAGTTTTCTATTTAGTACACATACTTTTGTGGTTTATGTTCGACTGGACGTTACTGTGTGTTGTACAGAACGGTCCGCTACCATTCAACAAACTTGAATTCGTGTGTGGTTGGTTACTCAGCGAGACCACGAGACCGTATCTTTTTTTTCAGGCTGTCTTGGATCCTCTTATACAATGGCGATCGCGCGTTTACAAGCTCAAGTGGGGTGGCATTGCGGAAGAGGTTAAAGCAAAAATTAAATATTAAGAATTAAGCGTATGTTTGCGTGCGTGCGTTCGTTTATGTAATTAGAGATAAAAAGAACATAAGGACACAATGGTCTTTTTCTTAATCAATTTATTTATCAGTATGTGTAATTATACAAGGTGTTTAATTATCTTATATGTAGATTTATCTCTCATATTCTTTAGTATTTCAAAATTATAACCTTGGTTTAAAATAATAAGATTTTTGAAAACTAATCTCAAGAAGAATAATATCAATAAGATATATTTTGTTTTGTTTTTAATGAATTCTGATAAAATCTTAACTTGCCACTTTATTGACCTAATTAAATACAATATTTTAATTTAATATTACATTTCGCAGGTTTAAAAAAATACTATGTTCTATATTGTAATACAATTTGTATTATATAGAATCAGGTTGAAATTTGAAACATATATAGGATATAATAGTGCGTATGATTTTTTAGACACTTCTAATGATTAAAAGAAAAGATAAAAGTGAACATTTATCTGCTTCATACAGACTACAACTTGCGATAAACATTTTTGAAAAAAGAATTTTCTTTATAAAAATCAAAGTTACCTCAGATTTTTTAAATGGCACCATGCAATTTTTTTATATAATATTGTACAGGATTTTGAAACAAATTCAATGCACTATTAGAAATGTCACTTTTATTAATAAAAATATAAGAATAATAAAAGAAAACTCTAATTTATGAAAATAAATGTTAAAATTGCTTGTATCTTTCTGAAACAAAAATCCTGTTCTTTCTAACAAATTATGCATATTATATTATTATACTATTTGGATCCAAAGTTGCATAAGCGGTTATTTTTTCTTGAAAATTTTTAATTATTGTTATTGAACATTATTAATTATTGTTTGATATATAAGAGCTTGCAGATATCTTTATAAAAAAAAATCTATCAGAGACAAATCTGGGGAATGAGTTGGCTATCAGATTGATCCATATATATTTATAACATATTTCCAAAGGTATTCTGAAGATAATTTTGAACTATTCATGCATTATGCTGGGCATTTGTCTTGTTAGAAATATCCTCCTCCTTATATTAAAAGGAATATTTTGCATTAGCTCTAGTAATTATATTTTTGTATTTTAAGAAAATACAGATATCAATGTGATGCTAAGTTTCTTTTGTAAAAATATTTAAGTATAATAGTTTAATTAAATAATTTAGTATGCTTCACTAGACATTAATTTCTGTATCATTCTATAAGTTAAAGTTTTTTTATTGTTTTTATATTATTTTTATATTATATTGTTTTTATATTAATAAAAATGACATTTTTCTGATATTGAATTTATCTTAAAGTTCTCTCGAAGGTAAAAAAGATTGCAAGATATTATTTAAAAAAATTCAAAATGACTGATTTTTTTATGAAGAAATTCTCGTCCGATTTTTTTATAGCAAATTGTAGCCTGTATGAAGCAGATGAATTCCCACTTTATGATCTTTTCTTTAAACAGTCAGAAGTATCTAAATATTGTGCAAAATATGTTTAATACCTTGTATGGTACTGCAAAAATGTGCAATGCTTGGAATACCTTGTATATTTACATGTTGAATGTGATTATTGATGTATTTCAGACTCATAATGCAGAATGATTCAGCCAATGATTGTTGATGCGAATATTTTTTTTAATTTTATATAATATAGAATTATTAATTGTTCGTTAATTGAACAATTACATTGTCATAAATTCTCATTATCAAATTGTATAAATAATTTGACGAATACAAATTTGACGAATACAAATTTAAGATGATTGTTTTAGAAATAAATACTTAATTTAAAGAGATAACGTTGGCCAAATTAATTTACATAAAATATATTTTGATCCATAATCTGTACAAGAAATTTTGATTTAATTATTGTTTATATTAAAGGTCGATTTCATTATCTTTGATTAATTTATCTTTGACTTAATCGGTCGATTATTCTATTGGAATTGATAAATCACATTCGTCGTTAGGTAAAATTGATCAATCATGTTTGACATTTAATTAGTCAATTAAAATTAAAATAATGAAATTGCCCTTAAGTCACATGGTATGCTCAATATGGTGCAATGTTCGGCGAGAAAAAGCTATTTATGATAATTTTTATTAAAATATCTAAGATTATAGTCGTGATTGAAGACGGTGATATCGTTCTTTTTCGTATTGATATCGTACGACACTTATTTTTTCATACATCAGTTATGCATTCTTCATAATTAAGATGAATCAATGTGACGAGAATGCCGCGAGTGAATAGATCGTTTTAATGATGAATTATATAAATCCTGAAACACGAAATTTAGGAGAGCTTGGTTTTTGTAAGGTTAATCGTCAAACTTTCCATTCTTCAGTTCCCTATTATTTATAGATACGAATGTATACGTGTATCGTAAAATATATATTAGGAATGTGTTTAGTTTTGAGGGTTTTGCCAGAGATGGCATTAATTCAGTTTTGTCGAGGACATTCACAATCATAGCTATTGTTTCTTAACGCTTTAATATTAATCTATGATATTTAGTCATTTACTAACAATAGACGCAGTAAAAATCATGTTAATACCATCTAAAAAATGGAGTTTCCTAGTGAGCATTTTTGACATGCGTTGCTTTTATTTTTTAATCAGAAGAATACGGCGGCTGAAAGTTATAGAATTTTGATAGAAACTTATGGTAATGTTGCTCCATCAATTAAAACAGTGAATATTTAGGTGAATATTTTAGACAATTCAAAAGTGGTGATTTCAATGTTAACGATGTTAACGAACGACAACCAAAAAAGCCAAAAAATGCAGATTTGCAAGCATTATTGGACGAAAATCCATAATTCACTTCAGAACTTGCCAGAATATTAAATGTTGATCGTATAGCAGTTACTAAACGTTTACATATGAAAAAGATTCACAATGAAGGAAAATGGGTTCCACATCAATTATTAGAAAATGCCATCGCGAACCGGTTGAACATTTGTATTTCGTTAATTGCTAGACAAAAAATGAAAAGTTTTTTATATCGAATTGTTAATGGGGATGACAAATAGATCTATTTCGATAATCCCAAACGAAAAAAACATGGATTGATCTAGACCAACCAGCAACATCCATTTCGAGGCGCAATATTCATGGTTAAAAGGTATTGCTGTGCATTTGATGGGCTTAAGGTGTTGTGTACTATAACCGTACTGTTAAATGCAAATGAAATTGTCACCACTGATCGTTATCGACAATAATTATACAAATTGGAACGAGCATTGTATAAAAAACGATCACTAATTGCGAGTAAACGACGCAAAGTGATCCTTCTTTATGACAATGTTCGACCTCATGTTGCATTATCAGTGAAATAAACGCTATTAGAGCTGGAATGGAAGGTCTTATCGCACCCTACGTATTCTTCAGACATTCCATCTGATCACTTGTTCCGATCGATGCAACATGCTCTAAAGCAGTGCTGGGAATTAAGTGAGCAGCGTGAGCATAGTTGCTAGATGCAATATATTGCGACGCTACAGCGTATGCGTGAAATGACGTAGGCATGCTGCTTGAGTAAAAGTCTCAGTATCGTATCTCTTTTAAGGTATTGTAGCGCCTGTATTATACTATGCATTGAGAATTGCAATCGAGTAAATTAGATAATCTAAATCGTGATTATTTTAATTGGTTCGATAGTAATTTTCAATCTACATTACAATTTTTCACTTAACAATGTCATTGTTACATAATACAAGTATTATGTAACAGTGACATGGTCGAGTGAGAAATTATAATGTTAATGTAACGTAACTGTATTCAGTATCCACTGGACAACATAACCTGAGATAAAGCACTCGCGCAAGAAACGCGGGAAAACTATGCGGGAAGACAGCTGGTCGGATAGCGTGAGTCCCTCCATGGATCCTGCGATGCGCTTTATTGCCGTCATTGGCATATGTTTTCGTAGAGCTGCTACGTCTCTCACGCTGTAGCGTCGCAATATATTGTATCTAGCAACTATATGAGCGTAAAGCCCCTTGCACAATGCCAGGCAACAGGCAATAAGAATAAAAATAGACCAATCACAATAGATTATTCTTGTAATAGTCGATTGTGATTCGTGATTTTAGGCAAGGGGCCTAAGCCGATTTCAGAGGTAACGTCCGCGCTTCCCCCACTACCTCCGAAGCGCGGCGGCCGAGCCGCCGATCGCGCGTGAGACGCTCTGTCTCAGGAACGGTCTCATATACGATAAAATGGGATCGCACCCTCCGTCAAACCAAAAATAAAATATTATTTATCCTTAAAAAATAATTCTTACTCTCGTCAACCCTTTAACTGCTACGGTCGAGATAACTCGAGTGTGGAAAAAAATGGCGGCCTTGCTACGATCGAGTTTACTCGATTTGGACTTTCAATGTGTAATACCCATTTAATTTAGTTTGTAAAAAGCATTTGAATTGAGCGGGCATATAGTGTCATCTCTTAGGATTAGAAGGAACTTATTTTACAAGAAAACAGTGCAAAAATATGTAATATTTATTATATTTAATTTATAGAAATTATTCATATTATTATATGCATATTCTTTATTGGCCTCTGTTGGACAACCCTGCATACATGTATTGCGTGTGGTATTTTTTTTTAATTTAAAAATGTGAATTTGTGAAAATCTGGATCATCAGCAAACATCTACATCATGTATGATGAGTTTTTACAACATTTATGAACATTTTTGCATGATCTTATATCATTATAAAATATTTTATAATTGTAAAAATAACTCAACAAACAGGGTCATACTGGTCATTTAATATCTCAGCAGTTAAAGGGTTAATGAAATATTACGCTTTTATTTCTAATATAATAAATTCTCTTTAATAATAATATAATGATAACAATAATTAAGAATATAATTATTAAAGTTTTGTTAATAGATTTCCATATCACCTATGAAGTACTATTGTTGATGCGTTTTGTTTTAAGTGATTTCCCCAGTAGGCCTACTCCATTAAAAATTAATGAAGATGAAATATATGGCTCAGCAGGAAAGCGAAATGCTACATTGTGAGAAATATAAAAACGAAAGAGGAAGAATAAGTACAGAGCGCAAAATGACCAATTTTTATAGAAATATTAATTGGATTTTCTTGCTCGTTTATATGTCGATTTTACTAGGGATGATATATCCACAGAGATTTTGGAAGAAGTAGTACGCATCAACGAAGATAGTGATGCATCGTTCAAAGATGAACGTTTGTCTATTTTTACAATTTTCATTTTGGAAAAAGAACATTCGCATAAATATGTGAACCCAAACATAGAG